TTGCATTGGTGTTAAAAATATAATATTTTTTGAAATGCATTAAGAAAATATTTGATGATTAAGAAATTTCATTTCGGGAAATTTGAATATTTGAGAAATGAAATGCTCACAACTTTTTTTCAAAAAAAATTTTTTGTTCAAAAATCTCTAAAATCACTTTTTAAGTCCTGACAAATAGTAAATGAATGATAAAAAAATATTTTCAAACTTTAGAAGGGGGCTTTAAGAATTATTGTTCTAAGATAAGTTTCATTCATATTTCAGGGTGGGTGAAATAAAAAAGTACATGTAGTAAGTAGTATGTTGAAAAGTATAATGGATATCTCTGATCTCACATGAGGGAGTAATCGTGATACCGTGAAAAATACGGGGTGTAAAAATTTCCTGGTGAGAACGCTGAAACATAATAAACAAAAAAAAATAGGATTAAATTCTTTTGGTCACCCTATATACCCCACACCAACTGACTTAAGAGATGTGATCTCCCTTAGGAGACATTATCTCCCATACATGACATGGGGAAAGTAGATTCATATATTCCTCACACGCAAGATATTTACAATTTACCCTAAAAACCCTTCTGGTAAAAATGTTTTCGTTTTCCAAACAAACATGCAATTCTATTATGTCACAGCTGTCATTTGCAGAAAATGAACTAAATGTACAATTCCATCATCATAGCTGACTGCAAGCAATATTTACAGCCAACTGTGTTCTTCAGGGGATGTCTCATATTTACAGCCAACTGTGTTCTTTAGGGGACGTCTCATATTTATATTTACAGCCAACTGTGTTCTTTAGGGGATGTCTCATATTTACAGCCAACTGTGTTCTTCAGGGGATGTCTCATATTTACAGCCAACTGTGTTCTTTAGGGGATGTCTCATATTTACAGTCAACTGTGTTCTTTAGGGGATGTCTCATATTCATATTTACAGCCAACTGTGTTCTTTAGGGGATGTCTCATATTTACAGCCAACTGTGTTCTTTAGGGGATGTCTCATATTTACAGCAAACTGTGTTCTTCAGGGGATGTCTCACAATGTTTCACACTTAATTATACACAATCAATTCCATTTAGGGGGTAGATGGTAAAGGGTATTTTGTGAACAAAAGTAACATTACTCAAAAATGTCACATTTCCCATAATGGTCGGGGTGGGTGGTGTACAGTGTATCACTTCATGAAATGAATAATATTTCACATCTCAAACATATTTATGATATGATATTATAAAGGCCAAATGTGATAAATGTATACTGTATTTGTTTTCTAGCTTGGATTCTGCCTTTTATGTATACTATGCGAAGAGATGAGTAGAATTATGGGGAATTACACAATTACAGGAAATTGGGTACCCCCTCCCCTATCTCCTAAATACCCTCCCATCCTCTAACAGACCCCAATTCCCAATTAAATGTAATGAAATTAATATAAAGAAATTCCTCACACACATTGATTCACCTACATGTACACTGTATTAGGAATAATATCGCTCAAATTGAATATATCTATTTGCACTCAACTTAACAAGAAAAACTAATTCTGTGTTCTGTGCAATAACAAAAACATCAAACAAATAAAATAAGCGAATCAATCAAATTGAACAATCAAACTGAGCAAATAGTATGTACATAATAAACCTTGAACTAGAAAACTAGATAAACAAACTAAGGATGTCAAAGTTCTCCATAATCATTTCTCTGCAAAATATATGATACCATGGCCAAAATAGGATTTTTTTCTCAATAGTTTTAATACACCTAAAGTTAAACAATGGTATTCTGATTATTAATAAAATGGTTTCACTTTCTGTTCCCTCTCCCCTTTTGTTTATGTTTACTTTCTTTTCCAGCAAATCTGTGAGTTTAATACCCTGTGTGCAGAGTCTAGTTATTTAACTACACTCTGCCTAGCATAGACTATATTACAGTTTAGTAGCCCGTCTCCATGATATAAGCCCATGACAACTCGGGTCATCAATCATTGTAAACCTACCACGTTGACCTTTTCTCAACCAATCAGCAAACTGGAAGGAACACATGGTAAATACGTACTCATTAACTATGCGATGATTTCAGAGGAATTGACCATACACAGCAGGCCCGTAGCCAGGATTTGCCAAGGGGGGTTCACTTTTTGAAAATTTCCAGGGGGGGTTCACTTTTGACAATTTTGATCCAAAAATGGCCAAAATCAAATGTGCTCAGAATGATGAAAAACTGCATGATTTTGAAAGAATTTTTGGCCAGGGGGGTTCGCTCGAACCCATCTAACCCCCCCCCCCCCTGGCTGCGGGCCTGCACAGAAAGTCGTCCATATTCTGAATGGCTCGGTGAGTTCAGAGGTTTATTGTAAACTGAAAGAGCGAAGACGGAGCTTTCTTTTAAGAAGCAAAGTGTACAAATGCAAAGGGTATGAGTTTAATATATAAGATAGACACTTAATGGCATTACAGTTAAAAAACAAATACAGTAGAACCTGCTAAGTGGAACACCTCCGTAAGTGGAACACGTCGAAAGTGGAACGCTTTTTCAAAGTCCCATTTTAAAAACCCATTGACTTAATGTTAATTGAACCTCTGTAAGTGGAACACCTCTAAACTTGAACAGTGAACACCCCATATTGAAAAATTAACCTGCTAAGTGGAACAGTCAATTTTCCATAAATTTCAATGGTGATACTTATGTAAACAAAATTAACCTCCAACAGTGATACCTGGGTATGAAAACAGGTAATAACATGATAATTGGCAAATTAGGATTTTAATGGATTACCATATAGTCAATTGGATTAACCTCCTGTAGAGATCGACATGTGATGATACCACTAATTAATTTGATAATTAGCAAATTAGAATTTCATAAGATTATCATTCAGCAAATTGGATTAAGAGATTGACATGTAATGCTCTTGCCTCTTACCTCTTGCTGTTTGTTTCATACTTAATAAGTAAGCTTAAGAATGTCAGTTAAAAAACAAATGAATTATTAGCATTAAGAACAAGTCTTTAAAACTTAATTGCCTTATCTTACTGTCCGAGACTGGCAGAATGAGGAGGATTGAGAATGTCAGAAAACATTTTTGGCAGAATGAGGAGGATTAAGAATGTCAGATACCTTTTTGAGTAAAACAAATGGATAATTAAGGCTGTATAGCTGCCCTGCAATGATCGGAGAATTTTATTTTCAGTGATACATATCAACTTTATATATAATCTTGTATGTTCGTTAAATCCCCGCGAACGCAAAACCTCCGTAAGTGGAACACCTCCCAAGTGGAACGCTTTTTGGCAGAACGGAGGGTGTTCCACTGACACAGGTTCTATTGTTAGTACCTCAACTGAAATACTCGATTCTGATTGGTTGATTAGCGGTCAACAATATGCACTGTTGACCGCTACTAGATACTGTTGACCGCTACTTTTGAAAAAAGTTCCATGACGTCATAATATTGTAAACGTTGATGAAAGTGATTTTTTGAGTTTACTAGACGACAAGAATGGCAAAAATGCAAATAGAAACGTAAAATCAACATTAATTTACTAATGACTCTACCGTGATGTGCCGAATATAGAGAGTTTAGCTACCACTATCTTCAGAATTTCTAAAAAAATATTGCTGACGTGGTTCGGAGAAAAGATTATGAAATGAAGCCATGCCGATTGATGATTGCCGTCTATATGATTGTGTATTACTAGTTTCTTCGGACTAACAAAACAATTGTAGACCTCTCCATTCGGTCAACCGTCAAAATCGTATACCTCGACTGTAAACCTTGAAACTACTGTTGACCTCGACCTTCGGTCTCTGTCAACAGTAGTTTCTCAGTTTACAGTCTCGGTATACAATTTTGCCGGTTGACCTCTGGAGAGGTCAACAATTGTATACTGTAATTGTATTATGAATGATAAGTAACCTCTGTGGTACCATGTCATGTCCTATGATTTAAATCATTCAAGTAACTATTGCTGAATTATTTCAAGAAAGGACAAGTCTTTCCACGTGACTTCAAACTAATGGTTTCTATAAATAGGAAAATAAGAAGACTTCATGATCTAATATAACTAAATATATATCAAGGCTAAAAAAAGTTTATAATTAAAATTGCCTTAATACTTTTACATCAGAGGTGTTACAATTCAAAGGAATTCACTTTCACTTTCACAAGTCCATGGCAAAACAAATTAATCTCTCCTTTTAATGAAAAACAAGTTTTTTTCATCCTAAGCTCATTCTGTCCTTGGCATTCAAAAATGTGTTTTTGATTTCTTTGTAATTGAAGACTTATAAGAGTCTTATAACGAGTCATTAATCTTGGTCCTAAGAAGGCTTAAGTTGATTTAGCAAGGGAATTAAGATCCACGTGGAGCAAGTCAACCCCCCTCTAATATTCTTTATTATAAATATCTACATAAAAATTCTTGCAATTTCACTTACAACTACATTATACCTACAGAATTTCTACAATAGACATTATACAGTTTCACTTCCTTTGGACAGAATTTTATTAGACATTACATAGTTTCCCCTAATTTGGACTAAAAGACAAGTCTCGGTTTGGAGAATAAAGTTCATCAGCCTACTGCACTTTACGTCTGCTTTGGACAATTTTGATATTTTTACATATTGTAGATTTAAATGTCCTCTTTTGAATATCCATAATTTAATTTGGGTGATTTTCTATAATTTTCATAAAAAAAATATTAGCGCAGTACACTGATGAACTTCTTAATCCAAATTGAGATTTGTCTTTTATTGAATCGGTATACTGCATGTGACACCTGCTTTAGACAATTTTGATATTTTTACATATTCTAGATTTAAATGTCCTCTTTCGAATATTCATAATTTAATTTGGGCGATATTCCTATATTTTTCATAAAAAACATTATTAGCCCAGTAAATTGTTCTCCAAACTGAGACTTGTCCTTTCATTAGACATTATACAGTTTCACATACTTTGGACAGAATTTTGTTAGATATAATAGTTTCACTTACCTTGGCCTTCTTTTCCTTGTCTGTATGCGTCCTCAAGAAGAGCGCGTGTGCTGGGACATCCTGGGCACATCCAGCACTGTGACTCCGCCGCACAGGACGTAATATACGTTTAAATCTTCCCTTTTTATTTTCCTTATTTTTATCTTTTTTAGATTTAGGAGACATTGTTATCACCTCCTCAGGTATCGTCTCTTGGTGAACTTTGAGAGTATCATTATTTGACTTAGGTGTACTGTTTGATTTCACTTCAGAGTCTGAATCCGATTCAGATTCATATGTAAAAAATCTCACTTTTGATTGGTCTGCAGGGGAGTCGCAGACACTACTTACTGGGCTCGACATCCCTGAGCTTGTAGTTAATCTATCAGAGCTCCCTCTTTTTAATATTCCACCATTTTCGGCAGTTCGTTGTGGAGAGGCGCTTTTGCCTCTTTCTGAAGTTGTACATTTATCTTGAAATTCCATAGCAAGACGTGTTGATTCATCTGGGGAGCTCATGGATCGAGCTGTTCTAGCGGGATGTCCCGGTCGACGTAACAGCTTTGAATCATGAGAATGTTCTATCGACCAATCCTCTGAGGTTGTAGGTTCATCTAACTGGACCCCCTGAAAATATAAAACAAGATGTTCTATAGTAACATAATGTATACCTTTTATAGGGGTTTTATCTGGCAAATTAATTGAGTGACTAACTTTGAGCTCCATCATTCATCAATGTATAGTCATTGATTCCCATTAATCTCTATGTTTTATAGGGGTTTATCTTGCCATCCCATGTTAATGACTTTGCACTCTTTCAGACATTCATCATTTTTGATCCACATTTCAGTTGTAAATTTTTCCTCAATATTTAATGACAAACTGCATGCTATCGTTTACTCTCAATTTACTACATATTCTAATGTTGTTTTTGTTAGTCAGCAATCCCACCAGAGTAATTTCTATGTTTAATAGGGGTCAATCCTGCTATGTTATTTCAATGACTTATTTTGCAGAAATCATTTAGTTGATGAATACTACTATGTTGATTGAATTTGTCAGTTGAATATCAAAGTCATTATTCATTATAACCCTTTTCAAGAATCAGATTTTGCACTTTTAGAGAACTCTATCCTCACTCCTGGAATAAGAGCTAATCATATGATCTAGTTTCACCCAATCTGATAAGGTTCCTCAAAACAGGCTAACCAATCAAATTGCAGTTATTGCATTATCTGCTTTCACAAGAAGCTTTAATTTGTTTCTAATTCAAAATCCAATTAAATACAATAAAAGCTCTTTTTAGTCATTAAGTTCTTATCACTGTCAAAACTAGTCAATCCAAGTCAGAGTGTAGAAATTGTTACTGGACATAAAAGGGTAGTTCATTGGATGTATGGAAACAGAACATTGTCTCCACTGGGAAACACAGGAGTGGTTTTGTACAAATCCCCTTTGTTTTATAATACACAGGTATAAACTCTAGACTATCCAATATATACCTAATATGAGTTAGATTGATTGATGTACAATATTACAAATGTAGAGATAAGTAAATGCAGGGATAAAAGTATAAAAATGCGATGACAGCTGGTTTTATTTGAAAGGTTCGTCAGTTTTTATTTCAGTGTTTTATGATACTCAATGCATGACTGAGTTGTAATTCTAGTTTGATCAAATAGAAGAGAATTTATTTGCTAACTAAATTGTCTAAAAGGCAACAAAATAATGAAATCCAATCTGCCTACATTATTAAATACCCACCCGATCACTTTTTAAAAACTATTTTTGATATCTTATCACTATAACTATCAGACAAACGCATGTACTGTATGTGAACCATTTTATGATAATTATGATATATTAAACTTAATTTGTGAATTCAAATCTCATCACCATGTCAAAATCAAATTATATGTTGTAATATAAACAAGGCATTGATATGCAAAATGTCACCACCTGCCATTTGTTATAGACACTGATGCTGAACATCAACCACCAAACACCAACCACTGCCATAAAAAACTATTATATAATAAATAAACGAATGAACTTCCCTTTTGCAAATTGTGTAGTTTCCCATTTCCATTTTTTCTCTTATCTCTTATGACACATGAACCTCACCTTCCAGCACAGTCAGTAATACTTTCCATTATAAAACTAAATGCCATTAAATTATATTTCCAGTATGAATGAGAAAGCTTATATTGTAAAGTAAAGCGGATTTAGTCATTGTTCACTGGCTATAAAGTTTCTCATGTCACCCAGTTACTCAACCCTTATTGCGTCATTGCGTACAATCACCATCCTAAAGTCAGTGTTCATCAGATGGGGACTCTGATTCTTCCAGGTAGGTTCACTGGTGGATCCAGAAGCTACCAAGGGGAGCCCACATTTCAAGTCAGGTAAAAATTTCCCACTTGCGCGAAATTTTTTTAAGCCATTATTTTTGATAATTTGGCCTAAAAAGGTCCAAAAAGGCCAAGTTATGGCCCAAAAAGGCCTATTTTAGACCCCCCCCCTGGATCTGCCAGTGAGGCTCCTTATTTTTCAGCGGAGTTATAAATGTTTAACGCTCGCACAAGCCCCACCCATAGCCCCTCCACCACCCTCAGGCATGCTTTATTACATCAATTGTGAGTATATTTTCTGCATACCATTTTTGCCTTTAAACCAACAAATTCATCGACCTGGTTTATATTTTTAAGATTATCTTCACCCATTTTATTGATATGATTTCCCTTTTAGCACATATCTGATACTACCTGATACCAAAGAAACATACAATTATTGATGCCACATGCCCCAAGCGTAGTTTTTCAAATCATGGATTTTCTTAATCAAATATTGTAAGGTAAGATATAAGCATTTAAATGAATGTAAATTCTTGAACAGAAAACTTGGCTCAATTTTAATTTCTCTTGCATCTCTATTTCTCTCTGGCTTGATTATTAGTGCAAAGGATCGCCATTTATCAAATGATCGAGAGAAATTACTCCCCAAGAGTTAATTTTTTATATTTACTCTCAATATCTAACAGAGATGAAATAAATCATTTACCCTTTTTAATATTCTTTGCAGCTTTACAAGAAATCGTCCAATCATCAATGTGACATGGTGACATATTCAATCCTGGTTTCAAGCAATACAGACACTTGTCATGACTAGCAGTTAAACAAGCGTACTGATCTACAATAAACCTATCCTTTCAGTAATGCATACCGCCACTTGAACAATAAGCTCTATCATAAAACATAAATGATTTATCCAAACAATCTCAAAAGACTAATGACGTAATGTCTAAAACTCCATATTAGTAATCTCTCATTTCAGGATCGACTATTTTGAGTGCAATTTTACTATCAATATAACTTGAACAACTAGCTATCATCTTTTATTTCCCTAAGAGTGTTGACGTCATATTTATCAATATCTTTCCTTGAATTTGAAAGTACCGGATGTCTTGAAGATCATGGTAATTTCACATGATTTCTCTCTATAACTCAAATAAAGTCTTCCATTTTCTTGAATTTCTCTTCCATTTAGAGTGTACACATTATGCCTGTTTAGTTTGTACCTTGCTAGGGTCACTCTTTTTCACTATATTTGGCTTCTAAAACCATCCCCAAGATCTTTGCTCTCTAGCAAAATTTTATCTCATATAATAATCTGACAAATTATATGCAAACTTTAAAGCTCAATCAAAATCTTTTTCTTACTTTTTATGTTTTCATCACCCTCTCTCATCTGTAGATTAGATCAAAGTTTTTATGACCTCACCATGGCAACGACTTGTAATTCTTTCAATACTAAAGGCTTAAAACCCAAAAAATCTGGCAGCATGTGTATTGTTACAATGGTGATGCCAATAGATATTTTGCTTATCTTATGCTTCAATCAGCCGATTGCATATTCTTTAACATTGTTTGTCAGATATCTCTTCCACTACATTCTATTGTAGTTGCATTTAGTATTTGTGGAGATTAACACGTATCAAGGTGTATTTGACAATGTAATTAAAACAACTTTAATCAGTTCATTGATAAACTAAGTCTTGTACATATGCAAATTCTGTCAGTATAAATACAGTAATCTATCCTTTTCAAAAGTTTAAATAGTAATTCATCTACACTCTTTCAATGACAATTTTTTGTTCTAGCTTAGATCTAATTTACAAATTCCAGCTAGCCAATCAGAATTGACTTCTGTCTCCATACAAAAACAATGATAATTTGTCTTCTTGCTGGTTTTTAAATGCTGGGTAATTAAAATTTAGAAGAGTAAGTGCATCCTCTAAATCTTTAAGATATTGTGATCTAAGGTTACAAGAGAACATGACATGAATGGATGTTTCATTGCTATACCCACATTTGCATGTATGGGATGGTACATTAGTAAAATTGTAGGCGTAAAAATGGGACTGGAAGATCAGATCACAGCGCACCTTGTTCAGAATTGAAGTGACTGCATTGTCTGCTTTCTCCGGGCTACTTTCATTAGTATCTGGCGTTAACTTCATTATTATATCTTCATTGAAAGGCTTTAAGACCACCTTATCAGCATCAATTTATAAAATTGTCTTTCCTATTCATATGTTCAGAGGGTGGTAATTTCCACTAGTCTCTTTACATCAGGGTAATGGTTATCAGGTTATGTTGTTACAAGTCTGTACTGTTAAATAGTTTGATAAAAATCATCTGTTCAGTGTAAGAAAATGATTTTACAAATGAACACTTGTTAATCAATTTAAAACAAAAATGTGGTCTGGTGCCTGCAGGGGGATCTTGGAAATCAACAGGGGACAACCTGGTGCCTGCAGGGGGATCTTGGAAATCAACAGGGGACAACCGAAGGAGACAAAATATTTATCTAATCCATTCCTTTTTCAGCAAGACAAAATTTCTCAAGCGATGCCTACTTGAAAGTGAGGATCCAAAAGGCCCATTTTATGCTGGAAAATGGGGACAAAAATCTATACTAGCAAGTACATAAACTGAAAAATTAAATCCTGTAGAAGAGAACAAGGCAAAATATCGTAGGTATGACCCATTACATGTTGTAAATTCAATTACTATCATAGACCCCCACAAATGAATTATAGAGTATACCCAAGAGAACAAGGCAAAAAATCGTACGTATGACCCATTACATGTTGTAAATTCAATTACTATCAAAGACCCCCACAAATGAATTACAGAGTATACCCAAGAGAACAAGGCAAAAAATCGTAGGTATGACCCATTACATGTTGTAAATTCAATTACTATCATAGACCCCCACAAATGAATTACAGAGTATACCCAAGAGAAGAAGGCAAAAAATCGTAGGTATGACCCATTACATGTTGTAAATTCAATTACTATCATAGACCCCCACAAATGAATTACAGAGTATACCCAAGAGAACAAGGCAAAAAATCGTAGGTATGACCCATTACATGTTGTAAATTCAATTACTATCATAGACCCCCACAAATGAATTACAGAGTATACCCAAGAGAACAAGGCAAAAAATCGTAGGTATGACCCATTACATGTTGTAAATTCAATTACTATCATAGACCCCCACAAATGAATTACAGAGTATACCCAAGAGAACAAGGCAAAAAATCGTAGGTATGACCCATT